ATATATATCTTCTACTTGAAAATGTTCAAGCATCGGAACCATCAGGATCATAACAGCAGGAACACACGATAACAAGAAGGTCTGAGAAAGTGGACCCACAAGAACTAATTCTAGTGTAGTAGAAACCATGATAACTGAAAACTTGTTATATTATTCTGGATTTTAATCAAGTGATGCATGTGAATCAAACACATAAAACCAATTGTTTGATCCATCCATCATTGGTGTTTTTAATCAAAATCAATATACAAATTCCAAGAAGGAAGAAAAAGCAAAAAAAGAAGCAGTGATCCAATATTATGAATGAGAATCTTAAGGAGTTGCAAACTTAATAACTTCTCGATACTATCCAAGCACCCATATGGGGAAGATGTTTCTGTAGGTGACATAGTTCAAAAAGCAGTTCTTTATGAACGTTCATGTCATTTTTTGTGTTAACAACAAATTTGCTTTAATAATAATCTATATATACTAACCAATATGATATTAGATGTTTGACAGAGAGAGAACATATATACCTGTTGAGGATAATCTCCATTTTCTAACTGTTAATTGATGATTAGTTTAGCAGCATGGTGAAGAGGCAGCAGATATCTTTCAGCCTTTTAACACATTAAAATATAAAATTTCCATACCTGTTGCATTCAATACCTGCTAAGCCTTCAAGAGCAACTCATGTTGCATTCGTGTAACATGCTCCCCAACTTCCATACCTGTCAAGGGAAATGAAAATGCTTCTAAGCCATCAGAAGTTTTCTCATGAATATGTTATCTTACCATACCATAAACCATCTGTCTCTTGTATGCTTTCTATAAACTCTATTGACTTTTCAATATGCTCTTATCAATCTCTCTCGTCTTGTGATCTAGGCATAGTTGCTTGAACATAATCAATGCTTGGAGAACAACTGAAGTACATTCCACACACTCACGCTCCACTACAAGATCAACCATAAATTATGTGGGGTTGAACAACTGTAATACAGAGTTAAAAATTGATTTGGACATCATATCATAAAGTAGAAGACAATGTTATTAGCTCTAACCATCCATATCTACGGACAGGCTCCCACGCTGTCATACCTTCATTTTTCCTCTATAGCAAATCAATAGTCACAAATTATTGTTTCATAAAACATTTATAGATTGTATTCTTATATGAAAAGACAGTAAGAGGTTGATTGAGTCATATAGTTGCTCATGATTCATTTGTGGGCCAACAACGTCAAGTAGCATCTTGGAGAGCAGCATACAACACTATGAGACCAAGAAGATATGCGTAAGTGAGGCAAAACAAAATTTTAGAAACAACAAGTAAGTTGGTTTGTTTTAATGATAGATGATTTTACTTAACAACTTTAGTTGTACAATCCGAGGCATGCCACCCTTGGTCGCTGTCTGAAAATGTCCATCCTCCTTTGGATATGTGGCAGTGCATATTCTTGAAATCTCTCGAAGGGTTTTTTCTATTCTTTAAAGATCTTTGATTTATAAATTCACAGTCAACTAACTCTGTAGAACATTATTATACAAATTACAGAGGGTAAACTACTTGAGACTTCTTGATAAAATCATGGCTTTTTAGGTGTACATCAGTGATTTCATTGGGGGCAAACTAGCAAGCAGAGCTTGTATTTTAAGTGTTGTGCCCCACAATTGACTATCAAAGCTCTACATAAATGTTTGTATTCCAAAATAAGGAGCTTGTATTATATGTTCTCTCTCTGTCAAACATCTAATATCATATTGATTAGTATATATAGATTATTATTAAAGCATATTTGTTGTCAACGCAAAAAATGACATTAGCGTTCATAAAGAACTGCTTTTTGAACTATGTCACCTACAGAAACATCTTCCCCATATGGGTGCTTGGATAGTATCGAGAAGTTATCAAGTTTGCAACTCCTTAAGATTCTCATTCATAATATTGGATCACTGCTTCTTTTTTTTTTTTTGGATCAACTGTTTGACAAAAAAAAAAAGATAGATCAAACAATTGGTTTTATGTGTTTGATTCACATGCATTACAATTTTTTTAGAATTTGAGTAGCTTTTGGAATTGTATTCAGCTGAAATATATAATTTGTTGATTAAAATCCAGAATAGTTATCATGCATGTTTTCTGCCACACTGAAATTAGTTTTTGTGGGTCTAATTTCTCAGAGCCTCTAGTTATCGTGTGCTCCTCCTGTTTATGATCATGATTCTTCCGATGCTTGAACACTTACAAGTAGGAGATATATATTTTGTTAGTATCATTTTAGTGGTTGTTTGTTAAGTATTCCATCACTACCTGAAGAGCATTTTCTCTAAGCTTGTTCGGTGCCCAACGTGTAAGGCAAGGCTCCATGAAAAAGTGAACACTGTCCCATACCAAATCTTGAATGGGAGTGTGGAAAATACGTGTCTTTCCTGCAAGGAATATTGCCAACTATAAGAATATGATCTAACTTGAAGAAGAGCCAAGACGGAGAAGAACAAAGGAGAAGAAATAGTTTTCAGTGTTTCTAGGCTTGTCTAATAGTCATCTTCAAGCTGCTGATCATGCGTGGAATCAACATGAAGAAAGGGGACTTCTGGTCCCACTAATGGGAGTAGCTAACATAACAGTTCAGGACCAGAAGTCGCAGGAGCGATATCGACTATGATGTTAGTTGCGTTTCTAAGAAAGTTAGAGAGTTCTCTAGTCTTATGACAGTAGCAAAAATGTGTCATTGTTAGTGCAACTGTAAAGCTAAAGGAAGAAGAAGATAGTGATGGTTAATGATAAAAGTTAGCACAACTTGAGGAAGAAAAAGAAGATCATCGGTAAAGATTGGATAGGTAGAGGCCATTTCTCAGGTTTCATGGAGAATGGAATCCTCTTAAGTTATAATCCTTAATTTACTACTAGCTCAAGAGTATGCAACGATGTAGGTTTGGTTTAAAGAACTGGCAAGATTAGTTGCTGCAGTCACAAGAGAAGAGACTGAAGCAGATCATTCACATGATCAAAGAGGTTAAAGATTTGTTTCTTTTAAGACCAATCATATAATGGACGTTAAAGATTTGTTTCTTTTCCAAACACCTAAATATAGTGATTCATTC